AGAGGTGGTATTTGCCAGTTATCCGAACTAGTTAAAATTTCCACTAGTTAAAAGGTCCAAACTGGCTGAATACCACCATGGGAGTGTAAGATCGGAAACAAAGACTTTCAAAATATACCATGTAAGTCAATTACATAATCCAGTAGCACAATCACTGGTTGATAAATCCCATTGACTTTTGTAAGGTTTATTTCTCAATAAACTTTACAAAAGTCAATGGGATTTATCCTACAAAAGAACATTGTAGCATGCTGAACATATTAAGTTTCTCTGCCATGGGGATTTCATTTTAATATTATAAAAGATATATAATCTTATAAAAGACCAGTTTAGAAAACAAGCGCTAAGATAATCAAACTATACAAATAAGCTTTTATAATAAGCTTTTAAGATAAATCAATTCATAAACCTTATCATTTGATAGCATCTCTAATATTCCAAATTTTGTGGGGTATGGAAATGTATGTCTACTTTGCTAGGCAAAAGTATCAGCACTTTATATGCCCTGTAGTACAAGCTGTTCACTGCAGGTTCATTATGACTGGTTTGAATGGACAATTATTTAACTGGGGAGTTAGGAGCTGTGGAGTATGTTTTATGGTTAGGGATATCTAAGACTCTAAATTTTATCACAGTGAATGATTCCTTTCCTATTTATATACATGTGATTTCTGCCAAATGTCACAACAATGATCAGATGCCCAAGCAATTGATTCCTTTGAATCCAGAAACACTCTAGTAAATAAAGGATTAAGCTTTATTATTAACTCAAGAATAAGAAAAAAAACTTTTATACCAAGCGAGATATCCCAACTTCTCTTATAAGCTGACAACAGCTTCTTCATAATGACAGTAGAGGTACCCCAAAACTGGCCAGTTCCAGGGGTGGGATTCTACCAGTTCTGACTGGTTCTATAGAACCTCTTGTTAACTTTCTAAGTAGTTCGGAGAATGGGTATTTAAAAGAAATCTCCTTTTCCACCCTTATTATATTCTTGGCAGTATGTCTAGACTTACTGTCTCCGAAGGAGGTTTATTTTTCTTTCCTGATACTTTCTTAAAGGGGAAGGGTTGTTTTAAGCTTTTTACATTGCTATTGGGAGGAAATACTCCCCTGGAAATACTTCCAGCCTGCATGCAATGATCAGCACTTTGAAGAAATAATTGAATAACAAAGCAGAGCTGTGGAAAGAAGCTTTCTAATGACAAGGAACCAAGATGAGTGACATTCAGCAAGGCTTCTTGGCTAGCTAGAAATATTGACATTCAAACATGAGTTTACATACCCTTTATGAGTTTTGGTCTAAAACTGGTTTTTGGTGAAGGTTAATTCTGTGCTTGGTGAAGTTTAATCCTGTGTTTATTGATGGGATAATTTTCCCTATTCAGCTCCAACAAGCAACAGCTACTGTTGTGATTTAATTATTTGTATTGTGTTTGAATTTTTTCTTGCCTCGTCGTTTCTTTTTCTATCTGGGGAAGGAGTCTTCCTTCACTGCTTTAGTGGTATCTGGCACTGTCCTTTTGGGGTGTACTTCCAAGAGGCAGGATGCAAGCTTTGCACTGATTTTTTTACTGCCTTTCTGGAGAGCATGTGACCTTTCTTTAAATCTGGATGGTTTCCTTAGAATATCTTTTGAGGTAAATGAGACTAGCTGGTATTTTTAAGTGGTGCAAATGGATCTATGGATTGCTTCTCCTGGGTGTGCTCTTTATGCAGAGCTTAAATGATCTCTCTGCTAAAGGGTTTCACTTTATGAGCAAGAGTTGGCTGCTGATAGCTATCATTGCATTTTAACTATTTTAATTCCTCAAGGTGCTCTGGCACCCTGCCTGATTTGTAACTCTGGCTTGCATGTATTTTTAATGATTGGTATTTAGGGCAGCTTTTTGCAAGCAAAGAAGCTTTTTGTATTTTTGTACAAGTAATCCTTGACTTACAACAATTCATTTAGTGACCAAAGTTACAATGGCACTGAAAAAAGTGATTTATGACCGTTTTTCACACTTATGACCATTGCAGCATCCCCACTGTCATGAGAGGCCAGGCAAGGAGAAGGGCCCCTTTATGTGAGTGACATCAAGTTGGCCACACCCACTCAGTCACATGAACACCAAGCCACACCCACCAACTAAGCCACCCCCACAGAACTGGTTGTTAAAAAAATTGAATCCCACCCCTGGTCAGTTCCCACAGTACTCATTGCTAGATTCCATGTAGAAGCTCCCAAGAAACAATAATCCTAATACATTTATCAAGATCTGGCACCATAACTTCATATTGTGATCAGGATACTGCAAGACTTAATCTTGACTGTGTGGAACAGAATTCTGGTAAGGGAATTGAAAGTCTGAGACTTTCATAGTAAGAAAATCTTGGACACTACATAAGAATTCCCTCACCTTTATTTATTATAAGCAAGAGTCAAAAAGCTCAGAATGACTTGTAAACTTCTAGACTTTTCTTATGAAGGAGAAATCAAAATATATCATTCCTCAAAAATAACATGGTCTACACTCCATCCCTGACATATTTTAATATTTTTTATTTTTATTTTATTTATTTTGTCAAGCATGCATTTGATTATATAAAACATGATTATTAATATATGAAATAGATATGAATAAAAGGGGACATTCAGACAGGGACAATAAGTACTTTGGTGCGCTTATGCATGCCCCTTACAGACCTCTTAGGAATGGAGTGAGGTCAACAGTAGACAGTCTGAGGTTAAAGTGTTTGGTGTTAGTGGAAGAAACCACATATTTTTCCTTGCATGAATTTCAAGTCTCCAAGTAATACATTGTACATTTTCCACCTTTTAACGTACAGAATATACATCATTATAGTTATTGGATGCTACATCAAATTTAAAATGGTGATCATAGTTTTGCTCCATCCTGAAAACACTAAACTCCTCCAGCACCTTTTTGGTGTATTATGGTCCTGCTCTGTTTCCCTAAACTGTGAATGCAGAATAAACACACATCTATCTTGCTTAATGGCACACTTTACTCCTTAAGCAGCAGCCACTAGTAGGTGGAGGAGTTGTAATTGCATTGATTTCCTGTATGTTGTGATATATAGTAAACTATCAGCAATATTTTGAACAGCTGTGATCAAAATCCTATAGGCCACTTTATTAGAATCAATTCATGACAGATGCTCTATAATTTGTTTCTAGTTCTAAAAATTTCCCTTAATTTAGAACTCACAAAAAAACCCTTTTTTTAACTGAAACCTTTATCTCACTGAAAGCATCTTTTTTTCACTTTTATACCACCCCCTTCTTTTGCATCATTGGGGAAAAGGAAAATGCTGTACCTTAAAAAACCATGGTGTGAAGTATTGGAAGAAATATCCTTCTGGGTTCATTTCCAAGTGGGGGAAAAGACACTGGATTCATAGAAGTTGCTTGGAAAGGTTTAATGGTGGATAGGACCACATGCCTTGGAGCTCCTGAGCAGAAAAAACAAGGAACAGAAGCTGAGAATCCTTGGTTTTATACCCTCCGTTGGGCCCCACCTTAGTGTTTCCTGTTCCTGTGTAAGAAATATATCCCATTGGCTGTCAGACTCCCAGGGGCAGGGGTCTTAACTAACTTTGTAGACTTTGTCTGGACCACATGGCTTCACCTGAGTGCTGGCTGATGCAATCTTCCCAGGTGCCATGTGGTGAGATGGGTAATCCTATCATTTCCTGAGGGCCATGTCTTAATCCCATCACCCTGGCACTGAAGGAGGGGGTAGGGAGCTGCAGGAAGGTACGTTGTCTTTAAAACATGTTTTTCCTTTTCTCATCAAGGGAAATATAATATTCTGCCTTTTTAATATTTCCTAGAATATTTCATTCTTCTAGGAGAGGAGTGGGTGCTAACTTTCTACAGAAGTAGAAGCTGCTTTTCCTGACTCCTAAACAGTTTTGTTTTTTTAATCAGTATCTGGTCATTGGACTCATTAGAATTATTGCTCTCATTGCATTCTCTGGTTAGGTAATGACAACATTATATAACTCAATTACAAAGAATACACTAATTCCCCAATAACTTTCTAAAATTAAAAATTATTAACTCAGAAAAAAGAAATATGGTATAAAAGTGAAAAGAAGATGCTTTCATGGTATAATTTCAGCAGAAGTCAAACTGTGACAGAAAATTGGTAGAAGAATAGTATTCCTGAAACTCCCAGTAAAATGTTCAGGGAGTGGCTGTACCGTACGAGTGGTGGCATGTGGATGTGCTTTCTGCCACTGGTTGTCACACAGCAGGGGCGTGAGATGTTAGCGGTGAGAATGAGCCTACAGCGAAATATTTATGAATATTAAATTGAACTAGTTGCTAGTGATTTTTCTCTTCAGATGGGCGGGGAGTTACTCGCTTTCTTAAGAGATTATTGTGAATTTCTCAGGGTCATTCCCAAGTGAGAACAATCACTTCGAAGAATCTTCGGTTCCGAAATTTCACTTGCACTGTTCAGTATAAGGCATTCACCATAGAGATGAGCGAGAAAGAATGACATCACCATGTCTTCAGGATGTATAACCAATGAAGGCCTCTTAATTTAAAAAACACTTGGTCGCCTTCGCTCAGCACCACGCCCTTCTACATTCGCACCCTTGATCCTCCTCTTCCTCTCCTTTCGGAAAACACGTGAAACCCATTTCAGGCCCCGCCCACCTCCCTTCCCCCTTATCTTTTTCATTTGGAGGAGGAGCCGACTGGCTGGTGAGACGCGTCTGGTAGTAAGCGGTTGTGGTCAGTGTCGCCTTTAATCCGGCGGTCCCAGTCTCACCCTAGCGGGTCTCGAGCTAAAAAGAGAAGCAGAGACAGCCTCTACAAGCCCCGTGCTTCCTTCTTCTACCTTAGGTGGGCCTGATCTATCCCTTGCAGATAAGTATGTGCTTTCTTCCACACCAATCAGTTGGCGGCTGCCTAGAACTGGGCGGGCGCGACCTGCTGAGGCTTTCAGCATTTGGCTGGGGAATGGGAGAACGACGCTTCTAAGCCCAGGGCAGTTTTAGAGGAAGAAGGGGGGCTGCCTAGGGCAAGTGTGCGTGGAGTGCCTTTGGAGGCCGACGGCGGAGCCCTTGCTTTGGGAAGAGCTTTCCCTTTTCCGGAACTCTTGCCTTTCTTTTCTGCTCGCTTGTCCTTGCTTTTTTCCCCTACTGAATGGGCCGTCGTGGCGCTCCCTTTTCCCATGCCTTGAACGCAATGGGCGCGCCACGGTGCTTGTGTGGGTGGGTAGCTGGTTGGTGTTAAGGCGGCTTCAGGGCTGCTTTCCTCTTCGTTATACTGAAGTGTATCGCAGAAAAAAGTGATGGAAGCTTTTCTGTGTAAGGCGCTCGTTTTTCCCCTGCAGTGTTAAACTTATTCAAAGCGAGATATGCTGGGTCTACCTGCTTGAGTCCAGACAGACCTGTGGTTGGCCTTAACTGGGAAGGGGTAGCAATTCCAGTAAAGAGAAAAGCTTAGCTGACTCTATTGAAGTGAAGCACTAAGCAGTCGTTCTGGGACACTAGCTACAGATTTCTGAAGATTTCTGTTACAAATGCTGCCTCTAAATAAGATTCTATTATTGGTTATGATGGATACTTATACACATTGGTAGACCTGTTCATTACTTGAGGGGCAGTGTGGAATAGCTGTTGGGGCCCCAAGCTAGACACTGGGAGACCCTGAGTTACTCAACTCTTGTGCAAAGCCAGCTGTGTGATTGAGCCAGTCCATGTCAGCCTGAAAAAACAAAGATAAATCATTTCTACAAATTGGACTTGTTCAGTGTTCACTCACATGATTTACTTGAAAGTGCACACATCCACACAAATGTTCTGTATTCAATCCTTTAAGGGTTATTTAGTTGTGCTATTTATACATTATATTTAGGAATTAAAATCCAGTAAAAGCAACAATTCTTCAGGAAAGTAATTTGCTTGTGAATATAGCATTTATCATTTTACTAATTTACTAATTTGAAAGTCCATATGTAGTTATTTTATGACTATCAGTCGGTGAGTTGTTGAACAAAAAAAGCCTGAATATTTTAAATCCTATTAATGCAAACAATTTTTCTTGTTTTAGGTCTTACCTTTGTGTGAAATATCTGCAGGAAAAAATGGCAACAAATAAGCCTAAAAGTCAGAATTCTTTGGCTCTGCATAAAGTAATTATGGTAGGCAGTGGGGGAGTAGGAAAATCTGCATTGACTTTACAATTCATGTATGATGAGGTAAGAATTCAAAATGTTTTCCTTTAAATTGCTATACAAATTTTCAAGGTATATGAGAGCAACTGAAACAATATTACATTAATCAGTACTTAATACATTTCAGCTATATCAGTGGTTGAAGTAGTTTAGACACAATCTGAGAAAATTACGTAATTAAAATAGCTGAGGGTGTTTTAGTTATATTTGGAAGAGTCAAAATTTGAAACAAAATGGTATCTTCATTGTTTCTGGCTTCTAGGTTTAAACAAAAAATAGTGTGATTAAAAACTTTTTTTTTTTTTTTGCATAAGGCAATTGTACTGTATAAAGGATTTGGTTTAAGACTGGCTGTTGGTTTTAAGTCTTCCTCTCAAGAGTCAGGTAGCAGCTGTGGCTCTTTTTGCAAGTCCAGCTACTAGTGCCTGTTTTTTGACCAAGAGGTCTTGCTATTATGGCTCATAATTCCCATTTGGGTTATTATAAAGCACTCTGGAGTTTCCTTTGAAGAGTGTTTGAAAACTGCCAACAGTCCAGAATACAGCGGTGCAGGCAGTTTTTGCTTCTCTCACTAAGCCTAATAAGACAGCTGCTCTGCAAGCTGCGCTGGCTCCTTGTAAGTTTCTGGATGAAATTCATGGTGCTGGTTTTCAAAGCCCTGCATGTGGATGAAGTTTTTTCTCCCATTGTTTCTGTTTGCCCTATCAGATCTTAAAGAATAGGCACACTCCAGGTTTTTTCCATTAAGTACTCTTCATTTTGTTGGATTTAGGAGTCCTAATTTTTCTGTCACTGCCTGCCTTGTTGAACAGCATCCCCCAGATTGCCTTAACTTTTTTGGTCTCTGGCTACTTTCTCAGGTGTTTGGGTCTGTTGAGGTTTGGATTATTAGAACTGGAACACACTACCTCTCATGTTTTGGGTTATTTTCAACTGACAGTTTTTTAATATTTGTATACATTCTGAGTTACTTCTATAAGATAAATTGCCTTATATACTTCATTGGACAAATAAATACCATATAATCTTCCACCAGTGTTAGATAGGGCTGAACAAGAATGAGTTTTTGAAATCATTAAAAATTTGTTGTTTAGAATGGAATTGACTATTTTGTTAACAGTTTGTAGAAGATTATGAACCTACCAAAGCCGATAGCTACAGAAAAAGAGTGGTCCTGGATGGAGAAGAAGTTCAGATTGATATATTGGATACAGCAGGACAGGAAGATTATGCTGCAATTCGTGATAACTATTTTAGAAGCGGAGAAGGTTTTCTCTGTGTATTTTCAATTACAGAGCTTGAATCTTTTGCTGCTACAGCTGACTTCAGGTAATTGGATGAATGTTTTAATATTTTGAATGATGGTAATTTTTGTCTTACAATTCCTTGCCTTTTTATATTGGTAATTCTATAAACACCCAACTGATAAAATAGTACAAGAAAGCTACATATAACTGAAATGTCTGATTAATGCTCCAGATAACCATGTGTAACATGCTATATCACTTCACAGATCTAGGGAAAAATGACAGTTTTAACAGTCTGGAATTAGGATGGCCTCGAAAAGGATGCTTTACAATATGTAAAGCTCTTCTGGCTGTGGCAAAGCATTGCACCCATCACCTCTGTGGTCACATGATGATGATCTACATGCTTGGCAGTTTCTTTACATTTACAACAGTATTTAGTTCAAAATATCACAGATAAATAATTGTATTTTCCATGAGTGTATGGATCAAAAGTGTGTGGTATTTTTTCTTCTCCAGAGAGCAGATTTTAAGAGTAAAGGAAGATGAAAATGTGCCATTTTTGCTTGTTGGCAACAAATCTGATTTAGAGGATAGAAGACAGGTTTCTGTAGAAGAAGCAAAAACTAGAGCTGATCAGTGGAATGTTAACTATGTGGAAACATCTGCTAAAACACGAGCTAATGTTGATAAGGTAAAAGCTATTTCCCATTTTGTGTAATCCTCTTCACGTAAGATTTGCCAACATAATTATATTTAAGTAAATGTATTCCCACAGTGGCTATAAAAATCCTGTACAGTTTAGAAAATTTTAAATTTGAAAGATAGGTAAAAAAAAGTGGGTAGGTAATGAAAACCTATAATTCCACTTTCCAATATTACGTTTTGTTTTATTTTCTGCTGCAATTGTTTCCATCCAAAGCAGAGTTTGAGAAATAAAAAAGCAACTTTGGCATGGAGACTAAAACTAATGGTGCAGATGGTCCACACACTTTTTTTTCCACATCTGACTTTCTGAGTCACTCTGCTCTTTGTTGTCCTTTGCTCTGCAGTTAGTTGCAAAGCAGTTTCTGCCCTATGCTCATATGGAAGAGAAAGGAACATTGGAAGTGGGAGGTGGACAAGTATGGCCCTTTTTCTTTCTGACAGGATGTGGTAGCAGCCCATTTTCTAATTTTCTTATTAGCAGCTTTTTAATACAAGGAAAAAAATAGGAAATTAGGAAAAGGAGGAGCAAAAGAAGAAAGGAGCACAGGTTCTACAAGTAAGGGTGTGTGACTTACGTGAAAAAAGTGACTATGTAACAGAATTCTGTTAAAAGTTCAGATACAAGAGTCTGAGTCAGCAAATGTAACTCGCTCTATAAAGTACAGCACAGAATGGTTGAAGTATATGTGATAGCCAATGAGTTATTTGAAAGTTTGACTGCTAGCTTGAAAGACTAGTTCTGTAGTCTTTGGTTATATTTTTCATGTGTTAAATTTTAAATGTAAATTATTGTATTAACCTATTGTCAATTGTGGAAGATCTTTGTTTTTGCTGTTGAGGCATAGCAAAACATTTTCTAAGTTTCAGCATATAATTTGGAATTAAAGATATATCATGGCTTAATTAGTAGCTAAATGAAATTAAGTACATGTTATATTTAGGCATTCAGTCAATTGTATTGATACCGATATTTCTCCTAGGTATTTTTTGACTTAATGAGAGAAATCAGAGCAAGAAAGATGGAAGACAGTAAAGAAAAGAATGGAAAAAAGAAAAGGAAAAGTCTAGCCAAGAGGATCAGAGAAAGATGTTGCATTTTATAACCAAAGTTTCAAACTCTCTTCTACTTCAACCACAATAAAATCCATTAACATAGAGCATGTTATTTGGAGGCTGTTATGGCAGAAATCACTCTTAATAGTTGGGGAATTCTAATACACCACTTAAGGCAAGGTTGGGACAACACTGAAAATCTTCATTGGAAAAAAATAGTTTAAAGAAAAGCAGAATTTAATCCACATAACTTGTTTTCTTTTGCCATGGTTCTTCTGAATGTAGGGGATTTTTTTTTCTCCCATGGGCAATTTATTGAACTGTGAATGAAAAAGCATTACTTTTTATGTTTTTCTTTAAAGCATATACTTTTATATCAGATTTTTATTTTATATCTTACTACCTTGAAAATTACAGTGGTAATGAAAAAAACTAAACAAAAATAGTAAATAAGCTTTCCTTTTTGTTAAGAATTATGCAAATTAGAGAACAGAAACTATCTTCTCTGCTTCTATTGGAATCATTTATTCATGGACCTAGATTAATGGTATAAACATGACAATATTTGAATATGCCTTAATTTAAGAGTATATCTTGCAACGCACTAAATTGTATGTGTGCATCAATGTGAAATATCTTCTAATGCAGTTTTTGAGCATTTTTACTAGCTAACAGTACAGTTGATCAGAAAAATGTGCCATACTCTGAATTTTGAATTATCCAGAATGTATAATTTCCTTGCTTTAGTGAAAATTGCTTTAGTAAAAGTCAACTGATACATTAAATTTAAAAATGAAGTGGGTGCAGTACATTTCAATTGGAAGTTTACTTCTTAATTCAGAGATACTGACATTTACTTTTGTAAGTACTTTATATTTGCCTATTTGTGGAGGATATTTTCCTTAGGTAGGATAGCACTATGCATTTCAAAAGCACAAATAAGGTTCCATTCTGAAAAATATGTAAGCTGTTAGAGTTTATTTTTCTCTGTTTAATGGAAATATACTTTTCTCGTTTATTTCAGTCAGCTGACTATCTTCCTTTGCAATATCAAAATACTGATGATATGCTTCCAAAATTGTCATTAAAATATTTTTAAAAATTGTTTCCAATTCTTTATTGTAAGGAACATTACCATACTGTTAATGTATAACTGAGCTAAATATAAACCTCCAACTCAGAGATTTCAAGGAATTCAGTATAAAAGATGACTTCCAAAAGGCTTTCTAAATATATCTGTAAGCCTCCATCTGAACAAAATAGACAGCATATGTACATAATATGCTAACTGATAGGCTTTATTGATGTGACTTTAGAAAACATTTGTTCAAGAAATTTTGTTCGTACATTCTGCAGTAGATGTTATGTGCGGAATTACTTCTTGATGTGGCTGCTCTAAGCAGACTGGTCCTCATATATTTGTTTTCAGTTTGGCTAACCAAAGGAGTTCAACCACTAGCATTCTATTTGTGTAATGGGAACCAAAGTGTTATGATGCCAATGGACATGTATAATAACAATTGTCATAGGTGGATACCTTACCAAACATTTGCTATTTGAGCCATTAAATAAAGTTTTTTAAAAAAAAACTGTTGTAGAATGTTGATTATAAAACACATTGTTGCAGAATAATGATCATTATTAAATTTTCCATAAATGGATATTGTATGAAGATTTTTCTAAGAGATATCTGGGTAATTTGCAGTAAGGTTTTAATTCTCATTTAGCGAAGATAATTAAAGCTTTCCATCAAAAATGATGTTCTAAAGAAACCTTGAGGGTGACTTACAAATGGAATGTATAAAATTGTTCTGAATCTAATACTGAAACAGAAATGTTATTTTAAATGGATGCTCAGGTCTTCTGAGCTATTGTGTACTCGAATTTATTTCAGGTTCTCGATCTTATTCTGGAAAAAAAAAACAATTTTCCATAAATAAATATTTTTGCTTATTTACAATTATGAAATTCCAGAAACATTCATAAATAGAAATTTTCAATCTATTGCAATGTATGTAGGTAATGTTTGTTTGAAAATGTGCTGGTAACATTTTTGATGAATAACATTGACAAATCTCTGCCTAACTCCCTATTTCAAAATTCATGTCTCAAACTCTTGACTTCATTCATTCCTCATAGCCCTTCCCAAAATTGCACCTAAGTAGGAAAAAAGCAAGTTAATTAAAATACGAACTAATTTTTAAAAAAACCAATCCACTTGCTTAATTGTATTCTTGTAAACATTTATGGCTGAACACAATATTCAATTTAGTCTTGAATTATATCCTTAGGATATAATTAGTAAGATATATACCTGAGTCAAGCTATTCATAATTCTGGTGTTTTCCTCTTTAGCCATGTTCCATGCTGTGGAGTTTTTATTATCCTGACATTAAAGCTACAAATATTTTTCTCCATATTCTATATGGTATGGCATTAATTGCCTGAATTATGTAGCTTTAAGTTATTATTGATATTACTAACTTCTTGGATGTACCTCACCTGGTGCTCTCCCCTTATCCCCACTTTTAAGCTAGAATGGTAGGTTAAAAGCTGTGAAAAGAGATTCATGAATATATTGTTAAATATAACATTAGCAATTATATATTCTACAATTTGTTCAGAGTCATAAGCCCAAGAGATAATAAAAGTTAACTAGCATAAAAATAATGTTGGTACCCATCCTTTTGTGGATGCAGTGAGGGAGCTGTTTTCTGATGGACATCTATGAACTTAGAAACATCTAAATTTAATAAAAATGAATTTGTCATGTATTAATTCAGGCCATATAAAAATAGTAAACTGCCCTTTTCTCACTGACTAATAATTCAGAAGAACAAGTATTTCTTTGTATTTCTTTTTTAGGGGAAGGGAGTGATGAATATAAAGAGGAAAATTTTTCAATTTGGTTCAAGCAGTTTGTCTTTTTAAAGATGCAGTCATCATGGGATTTGATCTTGATTAATGACAGAAATTAAACTGACAATTCTCAGAAATATATTGTCACTATAATATAGGTTTTTAAGCTTGTCTTTTTTGGAGTATAAATTATGTCTGAAAAAGGCTACACAACACAGGGCTTTCTTAACCATGCCTTAAGGAAGAGTTAATCTGATATGGGAAATGAATAAGATGCCCTGGAGTTGGGAGGAAGGCAATGTATGTGTTCAGTAGCTGCCCATCTGATGGCTGAGAAACAAAACACAGCTTTGGACGTCAATATACAAACCTCGTTACTCACACTGCAAGAATTGATTGGTTAAACTCCAAGAAATAATGGTAAAGAATCACTCAGAAACAAGAGCTGATATTAATGAACTGAAGGAGAAAATGGGGTAATTAAAAATGGAAATGAGATCAGACATATCAAAACTCGATGAAAAAGTAAGGTCAATCCAACAAGCATTAGAAAGGAATGAAAAAACAATAAAGGAAGTAGAGAAAAGAATGGAACAAACAGAGAAGAACCTAGAAACGGTGGACCAACAAATAAAAATAGTGAGTAAAGAAATGGAGGACTCCTTGATCTATATTGAAATGGACAAAGCTGTATCATACTTAAGATTCCAAAATATAGTGGAAACTAAAGATGAGGACTTAACACTAGTGATGGCAGAAATTTGGCAAAAGCACTAGACAGAGATAAGGAGGAAATGTTAAAGGAAATGGATGACATATACAGGATTAGTACAAGCTACGCAAGAAAAAACAAACTTCCAAAAGAGGTCCACATCCAATTTACGAGGAAGAAAGTTCGAGACATAATATATAAAATATCCAGAGAAGAAGCAATAGTATACAAAGGAAAGGAGATACAGATTCTCAAACATATCCTGAGAAGAGTAAGGGAGCAGAGAAGGGACTATAAATTTTTGGCTACACAGTTGAACAAGCGAGATATTCTATTCCGTTGGCTGATTCCAGAAGGGAAATAGCTCCAAGATTCTATGAAAAACTATACAAGGAAAACAAAAGAGTTTTGCTTGAAAAGATCATGACATACCTTAGAAAAGCGAAATTATCCAAGATCCCAGAGGAAATAAAATCTATGTTAAATGAGAAATTTAAAATATCAGTAATTACCAAGGCAATAGACAAACAAAAGACCAACAAAGCGCCAGGACCAGATGGCATACCAATAGAGCTATATAAGGAACAACAAAATATCCTGAACCAACATTTATTGAAAGTCTTTAATTTAGTTTTACGTGAAGCAGAAATATCAACATCCTGGATAGAGGCTAATATTGTATTAATACAAAAAGAAGACACAGACCAGACACAGATTCAGAATTATAGACCAATTTCCCTCCTGAATACAGACTATAATATTTTTACAACAATTATGGCTGAGAAATTTAAAAAACTATCTAACTGAATGTATAAATAGCAATCAAAATGGCTTTCTTCCTAATAGGCAAACCAAACATAATATAAAGATAACCCTGGACATTCTTGAATTTTATGAACTACATAGCTAATGCCAGGTAGTTCTTCTATTTCTCGATGCTCAAAAAGCTTTTGACAACGTTAATTGGCCATTTATGCTACAGCAACTAAAATATATGGATATTGGCAAAAACTTTCTAAACACAATTTTGGCAATATACTCAAAGCAAGAAGCCAAGATAATAATAATAAATGAAGCAACAAATAAATTTAACATGCAGAAAGGCACACGTCAAGGCTGCCCTTTCTCACCATTACTATTTATATTTACCTTGGAAGCTCTAGCAAAGATGATTCGACAACAGTCTCAGATAAAAGGGCTGGAAATCAAAAAGGAACTTACAAACTGCAAGCATTTGTTGACGATTTAGTGTTTATTATGGAAGAGCCTGAACAAATGGGCTCAAAATTAATAGTATTGCTGGAAGAATACAGTGAGGTGGCAGGCTTGAAAATAAATAAAAACAAAACAAAAATTATAGCAAAGAATATGACTAATATACAAAAAGAAATCCTAATCAAAAATTTAGGTGTTCAAATTACCAAAAAAAATAAGGTACTTGGGAATTATTATATCAGCACATTGTTCGATGCTCAAAGAAGAAAACTATGAGATATTATTAAAACAATAATGAAGGTGGTGGAGACAAAAGTTGAACAGACAGACAAGAAAATAGAATCAATAGAACAGAAACTAATGGGAGAAAATAGGAAATTAGAAGAAGCGATTTCCTACTTGGAGATGGAAAAAGCTACTTTTTCCTTAAATTTCAGAATGTAACAGAAGAAAGATGAGAAGACCTACCCAAAATAATGGCAGACCTTTTAGCAGAAGCACTACAAAGAGACGGTCAAGAAGTTCAAAGAGAAATGGACAAGGATCTATACCAATTACATGAGACGTTTTAAGCTACCTCGAGAAGTCCATATAAGATTCTCAAAGAAATTATTATAAGATGAGATATATAAAATGACAAAAGATGAACCACTGGTTTTCAAGGGGGCAGAAATTGTAACATTAAAACAAATCCCAAGAAGAATAAGAGAAGATAGAAAAAATTACAGATTCCTGGCCTCATAATTGAATAAGTATAATATCCTGTTTAGATGGTTCATCCCAGAAGGAATGTTAATATTATGGCAGGACAAAAAGTTCAAAATAGACAGTATAGAAAATGTGAAGGAATTATTTGATCTCTATGTCATAAGACCAAACTGGTAAAGAAGCAGGAGCCAGGAAGAACAACAGAGGAAAGAAAAATAGAACAAGAGGAAAGAGCAGGAAGAAGCCGAAAGACAAAAAAGAGAAGGCGTAAGAACAAGGCATCAAAGAGAAACAATAGCAAACAGGCGTCAATAAATAACAAACACAAAGTAGGATGGATGAAGAAATTAAATTAATCTCTATTAATGTCAATGGTTTAAACTCACCAACTAAGAGGAAAAAATACTAATTAAATTACAGAAACAAAATATAGACATCATATGCCTTCAGGAAACACATATACACAAACATCAGAGATGTTAGAATCAACAAAATTGGGAGATCTATACGTATCTTTGGCTCAACCAAAAAAAGGGGGGATAGCAATATACACTGCTCAAAAAAATAAAGGGAACACTTAAACAACACTATGTAACTCCAA